CAGTGTAAATATTGTGAAAAAATACAGATTTAAATCATATATGAATAATTCATGTCACTCATAGAAGTGTTTAATTTTAAGACACTAAACTGTTTGATTTTTTGTCTTTTTTGAATAGCGTATTAATCTTAATGTGATTTCGATTTAAAAATTAACTCGACTAAAATATTTAAATTTGAAGCAATTTTATATATATATATTTTACCTTTTTTTTACTCTTTAACTTTATCTGTTTTTTCTTGCTTTTGTTTGTTCAGAAATGAAAATTCAGTTTTTAAATCTGCCAATTTACAAGCCGCCTTTTTAATTTTGATTCGAAGATTTCGAATTTCCTGTTTAATATGCAATTGTACTCGTTCAATATTGATTATACAATTTTCCATTTCAGTATCTTGAAACTGCATTGTTTCTATCTTACTAGTCGGTAAGACTTTATTGCATACTTCCCACAACATGTTGTGGGTTGTATTCACTTTTTTACATTCCACTATTATCGTAGCAAGTTTTTCTAGTGAATATTGGTATCTACTAATGAAACTTCGAAGAGAATTAAATTGTCTAGCAAATTGCGCAATGTCATCCGGTTTTGAAGTTGACTCTGACTTTCCATCCGGACATTCTTTTTCAACCACAATAGAAGAAGAAGAGGAACTACTGCTTTCAGATTCTTTAGACAAAGACGAATCATAAGTTTGTTCAGGCAGATTAACATCCTTCAGATTAACACTAACCGTGCAATTTACGCAATAGAACTGCTTAGAGCCATCAAAGATATTTGAAAAATGAAAATCCTCATCTTGTGTGCAATTATAATGTATGAGCTTTCCGCAGGTATCATCGCAGCGAATACTGGCACCTATACCATACTTGTCATCTATAATCTTATTGCAGCGGTGACAAACAATATCTGCCATACTAGTGAGAATCACTCGATGCGTTGCACGGTGTGAAGAAAGTGTCAGCAGGTCGCTCGACAGATGATTATCAAAGTTTATCGGGAACTGTAGCCTGCCGATACAAATGTGACCGTGGTGAGAGAGAGAGAGAGAGAGAGAGAGAGAGAGAGAGAGAGAAGAAACAAA